CTGACCATTATACACACAGTTACAATATTACACCGACCGTTATACACACAGCTACAATATTACACCGACCGTTATACACACAGCTACAATATTACACCGACCGTTATACACACAGCTACAATATTACACCGACCGTTATACACACAGCTACAATATTACACCGACCGTTATACACACAGCTACAATATTACACCGACCGTTATACACACAGCTACAATATTACACCGACCGTTATACACACAGTCACAATATTACACCAACATACTTATACACACAGTTACAATAGTACACCAACATAATTATACACACAGTCACACTATTACACCAACATAATTATACACACAGTCACACTATTACACCAACATAATTATACACACAGTTACAATAGTACACCAACATAATTATACACACTGTTACAATAGGACACCAGCATATTATGCACACAGTCACAATATTACACCAACAGTTATACACAGTCACAATATTACAACATAATTATACACAGTCATACACTAACATAATTATACACAGTCATAATATTACACCAACACAATTATACACACAGTTACAATATTACACCAACATAAATATACACACAGTCACAATATTACACTGTTATACACAGTCACGATATTACACTAACAGTTATACACACAGTCACAATATTACACCAACACAATTATACACACAGTCACAATATTACACTAACAGTTACACACAGTCATGGGTAAAAACCATTTAGGCGATTGTCCCCCTTTCCAGAGATGCAGGCACAGCTATTGTAGAACACCAAACACACGAACTGCCAATAAGTGAATGCTCCAAACTCCCGAACTGCATACAATATAGCACTCCAAACACACGAACAGGAACCATACGAATTGCTGCTAGCAGACGAATAGGAAAAGCATCCAAGCAGCTTACACTCCTAGCAATCAGTCTATCAGCATTCAGTAAATCCCCCCAAAGACGAGACAAGGCTCCATGTTGAGGGTGGTCAAGCAGTGGTCTGTTTAATGAGGGCTACCTGCCCAGTATTTATGCAGGTCTCCCACCTGGTGGACACTCCCCTAGGGGACCAAATGGGAGACTGTGACAAGGGACAGACAAGTTGACAAATAGGACACACAGTTACATTATAATCCCACAATGCATCCTGGCTTCCTCCCCTCTGCCTTGGAGATAATTGAGAAGTTATTCAATTATTTCCCAAGACAAAGGCAAATTGCCATTATGCACGTGGGGATACTAAAACACAAATTACTGTAAAAATACATATATTATTAAGCGAATGGCGCTCAGACCACACGAATACAGTTTAATCGCCATGGAGCTAAAGTCTTTACACAGTCAGTTCTCATGCGAATGGGCTCCATGGGATTCCTATCTGGGGTATAACATAGACAAGTAAAACTACTGAACACCGGCCGTTCATGTACTTTCACAAAACAAGAAGGGAGGTCGGCGGCTTCAGCGGTGTTCGCGCAAAACTGTGTCCGATTTTAGTTCCATAAATTAAGCGCTGAACACCGCTATGCATTCGCATGTTTAAAATGGCCGCAACCTCGTGTTCGGGATACGAATGGCGGCCACCCAGCATTCGTCAATTAAGCTGCGGTTAACCACAGCTTCAGGGAGGTTAATTGCCGGCACACTCCAGCTCCCAGGTGGTCTATTCATTCGTGCGGTTGTTTGGTAGATTGAATCTACCGAACATCCGGCAGAAAAGCACGAATAAAGCTTTTCTGCAGGCGAAACAAAGTCTTTTAATATGGGGGCCATAGTCCAAAGGCAGCAGACGAGCAACCAGGCTTATCCAATGCAATATGGCGAGATTGGTCTCGTCACAGTCACAATATTACACGAACATAATCATACAGTCATAATATTATGTTGACATAAAATTGTGATTGTGTGTGTGATTAGATCAATGTGATATTATGACTGTATAGCTATGTCAGTCACAATATCACATTAACATAATTATACACACCGTCACAATATTACATCAACATAATTATATACACAGTCACAATATTACACCAACACAATCATAATATTACACTAACAGTTATACACACAGTCACATTATTACACCAACACAATTATACACAGTCATAATATTACACTAACAGTTATACACACAGTCACAATATTACACCAACACAATTATACAGTCACAATATTACACTAACAGTTATACACACAGTCACAATATTACACCAACACAATAATACACAGTCACAATATTACACCAACACAATCATAATATTACACTAACAGTTATACACACAGTCACAATATTACACCAACACAATTATACACAGTCATAATATTACACTAACAGTTATACACACAGTCACAATATTACACCAACACAATTATACACAGTCATAATATTACACTAACAGTTATACACATAGTCACAATATTACACCAACACAATTATACACAGTCATAATATTACACTAACAGTTATACACACAGTCACAATATTACACCAACACAATTATACACAGTCATAATATTACACTAACAGTTATACACATAGTCACAATATTACACCAACACAATTATACAGTCACAATATTACACCAACATACACACAGTCACAATATTACACCAACACAATCATAATATTACACTAACAGTTATACACACAGTCACAATATTACACCAACATAATTATATAGTCATTATATCACACTAAAAGTTATACACAGTTACAATATTACACCAACATAATTTTAGCACATGACAGGAGGCTTCGTATTTTGCATTAAACTCTCTTTACTAACTCCACACAGCAGTAAAGAAAAGTGAAACATTAACCAATCAGAATGCAGTAGGAGGCATAGTATTCACAGTGATGAGGCTCCTCTCCCTCTTTCTTTACTGCTCCATCAGCAGACAGGTCAGAGTTTCAGGCTCTTCCCTAATTGTATTGAATTATGTTACCTTTATGATTTCTCATTATCTATGGATGTTTATTTCATGGGTTTTTTTCTTCCCTATCTGTCTCTTAGGACTTTCTGTCCCCCCTTTTACATTGTACTATCTCCTCTCAGGGATTCTTCCCTGCTGCTTTCCCTCCCTGCCCTCTTGTATTTGTGTACTGCTATCTTTCCTCAGATCTACATTTATATTGATTCTATTTTACTTATTGTATTTTATTCTACCTTATTTTATTATTATCTATCCGTTTTGCTTTTTCATGGCACTGACCGATCTCACTTTCCCTGAGATCAGATCGTTGGTTTTGTCCTTGAGGGTAACGCTCACCCTCCACTCTCACCGTTCTCCTTGCGGCCTCTCAGCCGCAATCACGTCTCTCCGGTGGCCATATTGGATCTCGCGTCTCGCAAGAGTTACGGCCGCCATCTTGGGAGACCCGCGGTCTCCGTTATTTCGGCTCCCGACCACAATATTGCCGCACACAATTCAGGCAGGGGTCAGCAGGTTAGTGTACTGGCTATCTAACCTCCCATAAGGACTGTCAGCCCCATACAGTGGTGGACCACTATCATTTCTCTTACATTAGGTGGATTTTGTGCCACCTTCCTATATATATATATATATAAACTGGGTGAGGCCCTTTCAGGTGGATTTTGTGCCACCTATATGTGTGTATTGTCAGTTTAAGCCCTGTAATAGGTGGATTTTGTGCCATCCTCATACACATACCTGGGTGTAGCCCAGTGGAAAATCCCAATCTACCCTGCTGGGGAAGCTGGTATTCTTATACCACATACTTGATCTGTACATGTCCACCCTGCTGGGGTGCCTACAGAGTTAATTTATATACTTATACCCTGCTGGGGTTCTATAGGTATCACTGATACCATAATTTCCTGTGTGCAACACCGCAGCCTGACCCCTAGCCCTACGTATAGCCTGTGCCACAAGACTCTACCTATACGGTCCTACTCCTAAAACACTATGGAATCTTCCCAAAACCCTGCAGATTTTCAGGCTATGATTTCTGAGGCCATCTCCGCATCTATGGAGAAAGCACTTTCCAGGGTCATCACGGCATCAGCCAATCTCACCATGTCTTCCACTAAAGCCACACCCCATGACTATGATTCTCAGGCTTCTGAATCGCAGACACAAGCTGACCCATGGGCGTCCGCAGGGGGGGGCAACGGGGGGCACTTGCCCCCCCTGGATTTTTCAGCTTGTTCTGCTATTTTGTGTGAGATTTAAAATGAACTGCAATACCGGCGCCGGCCAGTAGGTGGCGCTGTGTATGGAGAGAGACAGGGATAGGAAGCTGCATCTTATCCCTGCTTCTCTGCTGATTGAAACCGCAGGGGAACAGCACATGCAGCCAGAGACAGCCTACAGATCAGGGGAGTGAGGGATGGGGGGCAGAGACAGCCTACAGATCAGGGGAGTGAGGGATGGGGGGGCAGAGACAGCCTACAGATCAGGGGAGTGAGGGATGGGGGCCAGAGACAGCCTACAGATCAGGGGAGTGAGGGATGGGGGGCAGCCTACAGATCAGGGGAGTGAGGGATGGG